TCTTATTGGTTTGTAAGTTTTTTATTCTACATCCCTAAAAAGCCAATAATAGTAATAATAATGTAATAATCATCATAATAATATCATTTATTCAGTGCTTACCTTGTATTAGGCAATGTGTTAAATACTGTACTTTATACATGTCATTTAATTGTCCCCATCATATGCACTAGATATTATTATATATTATTTACATTATATAGGTGGGAAGCAGAGACTACAAGATTAAATCACTTACCCATAGTCACAAAAGCCAATATTAGGGAGACTAGAAGAGTCTCTTGTAATCCTCAAAGTATGTTTTATTTAATATTAAATACGTTTTTAAGATTCCAGATTCCCCCCTTAGGATTTTGATACATCACATTCCTTTCCTTATCCCACCCAAATTTTAAATCTCTACTTAAAATGTAACAGAACATAGTTAAAATGACTCTGTTGGCAATATGCTAAGACTTTATTAAGAAAAAACTGAGCCAATAGCATATAGTTGCAGTAGTTAGATAAATGAAGAATCTCCTCACAATAAGCCAAAATGCCATGCTACCATTTTATCCCGCCCCAGTATGGAGGTTCAGATTAAAGAAGGAGTGAAAAGAAAATGTCCATACTCTTTGGAGAGAGATCGGATAGGAATGGCCTTAGTTCTATATGCCTGGAACTGGTTCTAGGTAAAACCTAAGGGTGGAGTTCCACGCGTCCCCTTTTTGACCGAACCTCTTAATGACCAAGAAGTCCTTCACACTGAGATAGAATTGGAAGCATCTTTCCATCAAGCAAGTCTAGAAGTCAAAAGATGTGGAGAACGATGCACATTTGCATATCAATTCATATGGGACCCTTGACCTTGTCATACTTGCTAGAGTAACAGAGTAGATTTCAGGGGTTCCAGGCCTCACTCCCAGACCAAGACCACATGCTGGTGCCCCAAGCCTTTCTCACAACCCTGGAGGCAAGAATGTGGAGAATTCATCATGATAAATTGTACTCATGTTATGACTAAAAGTGGTTTGATATTCATAGAAAGGGCCAAAATGCCGAGTGATAGTACAGTAGTTTTTGTGGTATATATCATTGTGCTGTCTGGCATAATAAATAGCATCATATCTAATAGTTACCAAAGTCAGAAAAAGGATGTTAGGACCTTTCGGCATTAACACTGCTGAACTCTGGCACTTCTACCTCTGCAGCTACCGTTGTGTCGTGCAGCGTGTGAGCCTTTGCCAACTTATGAAAGCCATATGTGATGTCAACGCATTTATTCCTCTTTTTTTAAAAAATTCTTAAAACCTGGAGAATGTATGTTCATTTGAATTTTTAAAAATTTCACATCTTTAAGTGCCAGTAATAAGCCAAGCTTTCTATGTATGCTTTATTATTATTATTTTTTTTCTTAGCATCTGGACAAAATATTTAAGCACAGAGAACTGCAGCAGAAGCTGGTGGATGCAAAGCTCGAGCAGGCACAAGAAATGATGAAAGAAGCGGAGGAGCAACACAAGCGGGAAAAGGAATATGTACTTATCATTTTAGTCTGTGTGCATGTCTGGTCTAGTTCGGTGACAGAGACTCTCTGAGAAAGTTGTTTTGATAATGGTCAAAGACCACTAGACTGACGGAGGAAGAGCTTCCGTGGAGAAATTAGCCAGCCCAGTATGAGGTGCTGTACCTGCACTACTTTTTACATGAAATTGTCATTCATCCATTCAACACATATTTTTCAAACACCATATCTGGCGCTGAGATAGAGCTGTGAACAAGACAGAGAAGGACCATCTCCCACCGTGGAGATTAGGGTCTAATGGGGAAGAGACAGGCAATAGACGGGCAAACCAGCAAGGAAAGGTCATTTCAGGCCATAATAAGTGCTTCTAGGAAATAAGGAGGAACAGAGAAGCAGCCAAAAAGAGGGGACATATTTTAGGCCAGGTTACTAGGAAGGTCTCCCCGAGGACAGGATGCATGAGCTAGGCCCTGCCTGATGAGAAGCTGTCAAGTGGAGCAGCGTGTCCAGCAGCAGTGTCTGCCCTGGCAACAAAGGCCCCGATGCTGGAACCAGCATGGCGTGCTCCAGAGACAGGAAGAGGTCAGGAGTGCAAGAGCACGGGGAAAGGCTCAAAATGAAGTTGGAGAGGCAAGCAGGGGCCAAATTGCATAGCTTTGTAGAGATTAGGAAGTTATTGGGATTTGTTTTAAATATAACGGGAACGTTTTAGCAAAGGAAGTGACATGAGCTGCTTTGCATCTGCAAAAGATTAATTTGGCTCATGGGTAGGAAATGGACTGCAGAGAGACAAGAAGACAGGGGCCACCCACAGCAATCCAGATGAGATATGGTGATGGCTTGGATTAGGGAGGTGGCAGCAGAGAAGCGAGACAGAGATGGATAAAAAGTTGTCTTCAAGGCAAAACCAGCAGGCCATGCTGCAGACGTAAAGCTGGTGACAGTGAGTGAAGGAGTAAGTCAAGGGTGACTCCTGAGTTTGGGTTGAAGAAACTGCGTAGTGGTGTTCACTGATATCTTATTAACCCCAAGCAACTCCCCCAAAGTTTATAGGGCCATTCTACAAATATAAGAATTGAGGTTCAAATAAGAAATGCAACTTGTGTAAGGTCACACATGCTAAGTGAGCAAGATGTGTTTCAATTCTATGTGCATCTATTTCCAAAGCCCATCTCTCTGTGACAGTGCATCACACTCAGAGGTGTGCTTCAGAGGTATGAGTTGAAGTGTGTACCTGTTACTGGGGAGAGAAAGAGATGTAAGACATAGTCAAGGGATTAGTTATTCAACACTTGACCGCGAGCTTTTCATTAAACTTAAAATCAGATCAGAATCAATTCAATTGGTTAGAACAGTAATTTTAAAATAATTTTAGTTTTCCAACATGGCAACAAAAAGACAAATTTTGGAAAATATACCCTGGTGGACATTGGACAATTTCACATCAGAAGTCCATGTTCTCTAAAGAAAAAGATCAATGTATGAAATCCATCTACAACTTAGCTTTCAAAGTAAGAAAAAAAAATTCAATTGTTATTCAAAATCTAAGAAAATAGAAATTCCACTGTTGGTGTCATTACCTTCTTAGGTAAAATATGCTTCCCAGAGGATATCAGTACTTTGCTATGGGATATGAGACATGACAGAGAAAGAACGGGGCAAAGATGCCTGTGAGAGACACTGACCCAGCCTTAGCAAGAAACCAGCACACTGCACAATTTTCCTTCCCTGGTTTAGCAAAACAGCAGATTTGAGCCAAAGACAGGTAGTTCCCCTCAGTTCTCTGAGGCTGGCTACTTACCTGGGTTGCAGCTAGAGCACTTCCTTTCGGAAGTGGTGAGACGTCAAGCCCACCCAAATAGAACAGACAGCTACCTGCCTCCCTCAGGGTCAGGGACCACCAGTCACAGTAGAGCTGCACAGCTGACTCACAAGAGGCTGGGTCATGCTCAAGGCCACCACTTCCCCCAGATGACCAGAGAGGGCGCCGTAGGGCTCCTATGCTCAGCTTCTCCTGCCCTCTCATAGGACTAGTCAGTTGCACCTTGGGAGGCACAGATGAACCAATGTATAAACGGAGAGGTTGAGCCACGGGAAAAACACAAATGTGGTTAAGGAAAAATATGCCTTCAAGTTTTTAAAAATAATGACTTTATGGTTGTTTTCATTTTGGCTCTGCTTACATAAGTAATACATAGAACCCATGGGCAGTTTTTACATTAAAGATGAACAATACGAAGAAAATTTAAACCATCCTATCTTCAAACACAGTATAAATGTCTTAGTATTTGATGACCACAAGACTGACTAACCAGCCTGATGCCTGATGAACCATCCTTTCTGTAAACACGCTGACAGACGCTCACAGTATGCTGACTCCCGTGTCTACTAAACCACTTTCTAGAATGGCTGCACATATTTGCCCCACTTCAGTAAGGTGGTGCTTACCAAGAATCAGTTCTTTGTACAAACCTTTTCTTTCTGGTTTGTATGCTGTTGTATTATGCAAATCAACGTAAACTGAAGAAATATAGGTATGAAAAAGAATTATTTCCATGAAAATCATGCTTAATGCTTTGAATGACTAGATGTAAAAAAATGGCAAAAAAAAATTATTGTCAAATCAGATATGAGTAGCTATAAAAGACGGCAAAAGGTAGAAAACTCTAGAGAATTCTCAGTCAAGCTGCTTCACAAGGACTTTTAGGTTCTAGTACTATTATTACACACACACACACACACAGACACACACACACACACAAACCCAACAACCTAGAAATTTTATATGGCACAGTATGAATGCAATTAAAAAAAATAAAAACAAGAAAAACCTGTGAACTCCAGACGATCCACATTCAAAACAAAGACCTACATCAAAATCGATATGTAAATGGACATTCATCTTAAGTTAGAACGACATGCTTTGAATCTGAGTGTCATTTTATGCCTAAATTGACTTTTCAATTTCACCCCCAGTTCCCCGAGGAGAATATTTAGAACAATTCGTCAAACTTCTAACCCAGTGTTTCTCAAAATGTAAGCCATAAACTACAGATATCCAAATTGTCTTGGGTGTTTGCTCTGAACACAGATTCCAATCACATCTTATACTTCCTAAACCATATTCTCTGAGAGAAATCTGCATTTTAACAGGTTCCCTAGGAGACTCTGATGTGTGTTAGAAGCAAAGACACCATTTCTTATTGTATCACGTATGCAGTGGGGGAGAACAGGGCTCTAGGAGAATAACTGGGTTTCCTACAAAGGAACAGTTGCTGACAACACGCCCAGGTGAAATGTTCTAGAGATGTTGAAGCAGAGGCTGAATGATGGTTGGTCAGGATCCCTAGAGATGGATCCAGAATTTGGTGGGGAGTTGGATTTTGTGTGATTCATGCTTGATTTGGAGACTATTTTCCTTTTTTGTCATTCATTAAAACCACTATTTTTTCATTGGGAATCTTTTTAGATCAATTGTTTCCTTAGCTTTCTTAGATTCTTTACAAAGTTCCCAAAATTTACTTAAAAGGATGAATCAGCACGGTATTAAGTTTTATACACAAATTACCGCCAAGTTCGAAATCTAAAAGACAATCTGACAGTCTTTTCACACATTCTCTCCTCTCATAGTTGCTGAACCAGGCGGCAGAATGGAAACTCCAGGCCAAAGTGCTGAAGGAACAGGAGACAGTGCTGCAGGCTCAGGTGAAGCAGGGATGGGGGCCAATGCATGGGGTGTGCTCTCCCTACTGGAGAAGGCGAGCTGCAGATGTGACAGGGGACTGGGCACAGGAGTTGGAAATCAAGAACGACTTCACATTTATCCTTTTTAAGAAAAAATTAAATCGCAATATCGTATCAACAAAGAAATGTTCTTGCCAACAATATCCAGTCAAAGGTTTGTTGACAGGCAAATGATGGCACTAACAGTCAGTCAGAGTCAGCTGGTGTCCAGGTTTCCGTCTATCTCTTCCTACGTCTCCCCCTTCTCCCACTGCCCCGCTAAGGTAAGGTACACTGCTCAGATGACCATCTCTGACTAGCAATTCTTAAAATGTTCTCACTTTTTGGTATGATTTATAAGAAAAAGAAAATGAGAAATACAGTCAGCACCCAGGTTTCTGTGCTGTCAGAGGTTGGCCTTGTCAGTGTTGAATGGACAGAAGCGGTGGGCAAGTCTGGAACCGTTTTGACTGGGCATCCGTGTTGCCATTTTTGTGCTTTGGTTGGACTACGGGAGTTCCTATTTCAGGCTTTAAAAAACCCCCCAAAACTCAAAGCTTCATGTCACAGCTGCCAGACCTACCCATCGTCCCCCTGCCTTAAGGCTCTGCCCCTCCTGTCACATGGTCCCTGTAGATCCCAGGAGAACCATCCTGCCACGAGCCACAGGGGGACTGTAACTCTGCTGCCTGGGAAAATATTACACAGAGAAAATTCATAGGAGGCGAGCAAATCAGTAGCCTTCCAGGTTGGGCAGCATTCATTTAAGATTTATAAATGCTTATGTGCTGACTGCTGATTACATGTTCATTGTTTAAAAAGAAAAAGAAAGCAAATTTAAAAAGCACAAATTATACCATTGCATAGACAAAAACACAGAGAACATTCGCATATCTAGCCTTTGTACTTTTGCAATGTGTAGATAGAATGCAGCAATGAATTATTTCCCCCAGTACGATCTATTTTCTGGTAATTATAAGGATAGTTTTAAAATACAAATTGCACAGAGATTAGAACCATCATACTTCTGAATACTAATAGCATCACAGGGCCCAGAGTTACGAACTTAAGATCATCCTTGAAACGGTGAGGAACAGGCACATCCAGGTGTGAGAGGCGTGGCAGCTGCGCTCTAGCCTGGAGGGGCGGGGCGAAAGGAGGTGTGGCCTCACAACTAGGTGAGGTAGGAGCCTAAGGAATCCCGCCATGGCTTCTGAATCTGTCTCTGCCTCATTCACGACACACCCCCTCGAGGGAACAGCGTACAATACTGGAAGCTGTGCATTTTTCACATCATCTGCTACATGCAGCCTCTACCTCTCTGTGTTCAATGAAGATAACGAACTTAAGAAACGTAAATTAATAACGTTAAACTCTGGGCTACAGAATTCACTCAGCTGGCATCAGAATCTGGGCCTTTGATGACCTGTGAAATAAAAAGGGGCAATTCAATTTCTAACCCATACCCCTTCAAACTTGAAAAAGCACCCTCCAGATACTCTACATTTCCTCATTTCATCCCTGAGTCCAGGACAGAGTCCTGGCCCTTCTGCGGAAAACCCGTGTGACTCCGTGCAACTCACCGAAACACCTTTGAACCTAAATTTCCTTGTCTGCAAAATGAGGATGCTGTAATGAATCGATGATCCCTCCAACTCCCGAGAGGCCTATTACTTTTCAGTATTTCCAAAACAACCACACACAAAACAGCAGCTATTATCTAAAATGTGGATGTTTCTGACATATTGAATCTTGCTCAGCAACTGTAGGCAGCAATTGTTCATATGTTTTCTTTTTTTAAAGAAAATGAGTTAATAAATATGTAATGTATGCAGTTTGTTTTCAAAGCACTTAGTGCAGTGCCTGGCCCGTAATAAGACAATTAATTCATCAATATTTATTGAGCATCTAACCTACTAAGTGCTAGGCATGGTCCTAGGTGTTGGAGAGATAACAAGAGAGAGAAATTTCTGCTTACCTAAACACACAACCTAGTGATAACAGTGATGTAAATAAAAGTGCAAAGTACTAATTAGTGCATGAGCTAGTATTAGTACTATTTCATGGGTAAGGATTTACAAGGGGGACACCCCCCCCAAAAAAAAAGCCAGAATTATTTTTTGGAGGGCAGGCCCCTTGTAGTACAGGCTTCCCCCGTTAAGTAAGCATTCTAGGAACCCACTGGCATCAGCGTACCAGCGAGCATTGTGGTGAAAGGCTGCATTCATCTTCAATGAATTTTTTTTGAGATTCTTTCAGTGCATTTGCCCATTTCATGATGAGTGATTTCCATAACAACCTGCCCACACCGTGCTGAGTGTTCAGCAGTTTTCAACCAAAAATGGCATGGCCCCACCCTCCCTATTCACCCAGTCTTATCCAGAGTGACTTTTTGTTTGTTTGTTTCCCTGGGTGAAAAAATTCCCCAAAGGAAAATGTTTTGCTGATGTGGAAGAGGTGAAACAAAAAACAGCAGAAGCACTCAAAAGCATCAAAATTGATGAGTTCAAAAACTGTTTTGAGCAGTGGAAAAAGCATCTTGATAGTTGTATTGCATCAAATGGACAATGAAGGTGACACTTTAAACATGTAAGAATAAATATATAATTTTTAATAATTCCTGAGTTTTGGGGGGGAGTTCCCCTTGTTATATAAGGAAATATGAGAGAAAGGGAGTCTTTTTTTGTTTTTTCTTTTTTTGAGTTGGACTCTCACTCCGTCACCCAGACTGTAGTGCAGTGGCCACTCCCGGCCACCGCAGCCTCGACCTGCTGGGCTCCGGTGATCCTTCTGCCTCGGCCTTCCAAGTAGCTGGAACTATAGGCACGCACTACCACGCTCGGCTAATTTTTTGATTTATTGTAGAGATGAGATCTCGCCAAGTTGCCCAGGCAGGTCTCAAACCCGCGGGCTCAGGCAATCCACTCACCTCGGCCTCCCAAGCGCGGGATTACAGGCTGAGTCACCGAGCCTGGCTGAATGGGAGTCTTTAGTTGCAAAAAAGTTGGAGAACCTCTGGAAAAGACTATCTCTAGACCCTGATCAACTCTAGTTCACAAACAGAGAACTTCCAGACTGAAGAAGCATAGCCTGGAGCTCAGCGGACCCCGCCTTCTTCCTCACTGCCAGTTTTCCACAGAACAGGAAGCCTGCACCAGCCCCAAGGGCCCTCTTTTACCTTTCTCTTTGATCTCCAAGGCACTTTCAAGACTGCAATAATTACTTGAGCATCAAGAAGAAAATAGAGGTCTTGAATCCCTGTGTAATATTGTTTAAACACGTCCTCCATAAGCATCTGTATTGTATTATTAAAACTTTTACATCTTGAAAACAAACTCTATAGCAGATTATGTTGCATAGCACCCAGACACTTCTTTAGTTTTAGGTGCTGTGGTTCATGCCTGTAATCCCAGCATCTTGGGAGGCCGAGGGGGGAGGATTGTTTGAGCCCAGGAGGTCAAGATCAGCCTGGGCAACATAATAAGATCTCATCTCTACAAAAATAAAAAATTAGCCAGATGTGGTGATGCTTGCCTGTAAATCCCAGCTACTTGGGAGACTGAGGCAGAAGAATTGCTACAGCCCAGAAGGTTGAGGCTGTGAAGAGTCATAATCATGCCATTGCACTCCAGTCATGGTGACAGAGTGAGACTCCAACTCAAAGAATAATAATAATACATTTTTAAAAAATAGGTGGGGGTGGCAGGAGGTCAAAGCTTTTATCAACATCTCCAAGATCTGAGCAAAAGAAATATTAAGGACAGATGATGTTTTCCCAGACAGAAATCACTTTTTCATCATAAGACAACTGCCTGCCAGTTGGGGGCATGCTTCTTGCTTAGGGAAGAGATGTCTGGCTTTCAATTATACAGACGGAGGCCACAGAATAAGTGTCAGAGTTGATCAATGGGATGCAATTGTCACTACAAATAGAGTCTTCATTGGATCAATAAGGATGAAGACAGTAGTTGCTGTAGAAGCCGGGCTCGGTGGCTCAGCCTGTAATCACGCGCTTTGGGAGCCTGAGGTGAGTGGATTGCCTGAGACCGTGGGTTGGAGACCCGCCTGGGCAACTTGGTGAGACCTCATCTCTACAGCAAATAAAAAATTAGCCAGGCGTGGTAGCGCGTGCCTGTAGTTCCAGCTCCTTGGAAGGCTGATGTGGAAGGACCGCCGGAGCCGAGCAGATTGAGGCTGCGGTGGCCAGGAGCGGCCACTGCACTCCAGTCTGGGCGACAGAGTGAGACTCCAAGTCAAAAAAAAATTCAGCAATATCTGACTGCTTGGACACAAGATACAACCCAAGGGGAAAGACCAGTGAGTAAACTGTTGAAAGCATGTAATCATAGTCTTTAAAATCTGAAGTGCTCAGCACACCCATACAGGACAAGAGGAAAGCACTCTGCAACTACTCCTGTCATAGGACTTGTCCCCAAACCCAATCTCACAGGTTTACTAAGACGATTCCTGATTACAGTTCTGTTTCCTAGACGCTAGACATGCTTGTAATTAAAACTTGGTGCTCAGTTAAAATAACATGTTTTTCAATTAGCCCATTTAAGAGTGAGCTATGAGGCGATTATTGTTATTCTGACCATAGGATAGTTTGTTTCTGCTTCTGCCTCTGGCAGGAGAAATACTATGCACGACCTCTGGATGTCTCTTCCATGTTTCTCTGAAATTCCAGTATGAGACTGGGAACATGACGTATCACACCAGATATGCATCATGTCAGTATAATCGTCAGAGTGAAAATCCTATCCAACAAACATCATAAACAGGAAGTAAAAACGTTTACTTAGAAGAAAGTGCTACAGTTTAGAGTTCATTATCTGAGAAATGTATAATCCACACAGATTTTGCCACCTGACAGAGAGGTCAAAACAGGAAGAAAAATAGAATATTAAAGACTGGTGACTAGATAGCAGAAATGAGGGGTTGTTTAATGTGTATAAAGCTTCTTTTTTGCAAGATGAAAAAGTTCTGGAGCTTGGTTACACCACAATGAGAACACACTTAGAATAGGGCTGGGTGCAGTGGCTCATGCCTATAATCCCAGCACTTTGGGAGGCCGAGGTGGGAGGATTGCTTGAGGCCAGTAGTTGAAGACTAGCCGGGGCAACAGAGGGAGACCCCATCTTTATAAAAAAAAAACTAAAAAACAAAAAAACAGGGTGGCAAGTTTAATGTTATGTGTATCTTACCACAATTAATATGCCTTTGAAAAGTTGAAGGAAGCCAGGCTCGGTGGCTCAGCCTGTAATCCCGCGCCTTTGGGAGGCTGAGGTGAGTGGATTGCCTGAGCCCGCAGGTTCGAGACCCGCCTGGGCAGCGAGACCTCATCTCTACAATAAATAAAAAAATCAGCTGGGCGTGGTAGCGCATGCCTGTAATTCCGGCTACTTGGAAGGCTGAGGTGGAAGGATCGCCAGAGCCCAGCAGGTCGAGGCTGCGGTGACCGGGAGCGGCCACTGCACTCCAGTCTGGGCGACAGAGTGAGACTCCAACTCAAAAAAAAAAAAAAAAAAAAAGAAAAGTTGAAGGAAAAAAAAAAAACCAAACAAACAGTCACTAAAAAAAAAACACAAGGCCAGACTCTGTGGCTCAGTCTGTAAACCCAGCACTTTGGGAGGCTGAGGTGAATGGATTGCCTGAGCCTGCGGGTTCGAGACCAGCCCAGCCGGGGCAACCTGGCGAGACCTAGTCTCTACAAAAAATCAAAAATTAGCGGGGTGTGGTAGCACACGCCTGTAGTTCAGGCTACTTGGAAGGCTGAGGCAGAAGGATTGCAGAGCCCAGCAGGTCCACGCTGGGTGACTGTGAGCGTGCCACTGCACTCCAGCCTGGGCGATGGAGGGAGATTCCAATTAAAAACAAAATAAAACAAAAAACAGAAGAGTTGGTGACAAATCAAGACACTGCTTCTTGGCACTCTGAGTGTGTCTGTCTTCTCCATACCACAAGCCAGTAACAAGAAAACACGAGAAAGAAAAATAAAATGTGCCCAACTGCTGCATCAAAAAGAACATTTTACTTTTTTTTCTTAAAGTCTTTGAGATATGACAGTACACATGGAAAAGTAAATATGACCACAGCTAAGTGAAGACAATCTAACCAGAACGCTTTAATGCCTGTAAGCTAATACTGAAGCTAAAGTCCTGGGTGTGATTATTCCTGCTGATTCCAGCGAAGTTACATCTGTAGAAGGGACCACACATGTGCTCACTCCTGCCCCTGCCTGTCTTCAGCCTGCAACTACAGGGCTGCAAGAGAGCTTGGGAATGCCAGCTCAAGAGACCATAATGTGATGCCCCCAAGTAACCCTGCTGGAATTACTGATAAGTTGGAAAAAGAATGGGGAGGAAGTAAGAAAAAAAACTTAACAGGAAGAGCTTGGCCAAGAATACAAATGAACAGATTTTGCTGTAGGTGACCGGGATCTGCTGGGGGTAGTTGATCCCACCCTAGGTCAGTGGATAATGTGCAGAACAGGAAGCCAATCTCACAAGAGCTTACCCTGGGGTAGCATGCTTCAAACTAAGAGGCTTGACCTGTTTGTGAGTCCTGAAGTCAATTCAGTGGACCCCAGCCAGTACTTTGGGGAAAAGGAAACACAATTGAATAGAATATGTCAGGGTATATTGCACACAATAAGAGCAAACGTTTTATGCACCGTGTGTGTGTGTGTGTGTGTGTGTGTGTGTGTGTGTAAAACCCTAGGGCACCTTCCTGGTCATGAAATCCCTGGTGCTCCTTTCTTCTTTCTTTAGTCTTTATGTCAAAGAATCATGATAAACAAATTTCAGTTCTGTCACATACATGCTAACCAGTGATTTTAGAATGATGGTCAGCTGTCATTTAACTTTTCTTTAGATAATCCATATTCTACAGAAAGGATTTATGTTGTTTTGTTATTGTTGTTTACTGTAGTAAAACATCTACGGCTCTGAATTATTGGGGAATAAACCATTCTAGATAAGTGATTTTCAGGGTTCTAGGGGTTGCTTGACTCAAAACACGCCCTTTCACACCTGCTGCCAAGACTGTCTGTCGGCTTTCAGTCAGGGTGTTCTTCTGTACTTGAAATAGACAGTTGCACTGATACCACCAGTGGGTCAGCTGGTACCTTCCGGCTAATAACCCAGTCATTCTGGCCTCCTAAGCATAGCCATACATTCTTGTTTGTGGCTGCTGCGGGCTTGCTTCTTCGCGCAAAAGACATTTTTGTGTCCATTTGAGGGCTTGGACTGTTCTGGACACTCGAGAGTATTAAAAACTCATTTGAAAATGGAGGCCTTACTGACTTGAACCATCCATACTAAATCTCCACTCACTCAAAACATGCTCTCCTAATATTATTTTCAAAAGCAAGCTTTTATTGTCTGATTACTGCTACTAACAATCAAGTATTCATTCACACACTTTCCTTCCCTGTGATGCCTCATTTCCACCCCCAGTGCAAGCGTTGTGATTCAGCCTCCTTCTGGTGAGCCACACACTCAGTAGTACTGACACATTCGATGCTTCCTTGCGGATTAGAAAAAGTTACCTCTTCCTCGAGACTCATCACTTCCATCTGGAGAAAGTGGGTGTAATAAACTGATCTTGGTGGAAAGGGACATTTAATTGCTCTTGGCTAGAATCCTATATTCATAAATACACAAAATCTTGATGTCCCAAGCAGAAACGGCAGTTGCTTGGCATGGCGCACAACCAGCATCATGGCAGTGGCCCTTGACCATGACCAGTCTGCATTTCCTTTATCCCTTCTTTGCATTTGTCTACCTTCTCCCTTTCTTCAAAGCCAAGTTCAAAGCTCACATGCTCACCTTCTCTGACCACCCGCTGTACTTCACTGTCCTGGCACTGTGCAGTCGCTGTAGTCAGGTTGTCCTTGACACTGTTGTCCCACTAGAAGTGCAGGTCCCTAAAAAGCCAGAGCCACATGTTGAATACTTTTGGGCATACAGTCTGTGCATACACGCAGTGCTCAATAAATGTTTGTTGGCAAAAGTTATTATACAATGAACTGGTGATGACTTATTTTTTCATTCTTCTTAAAAGGAGCACATTAGTCATCCTCACTGACCTAGACTGGTCTTATAGTAAATAAAATCACTGAGCATATTACTAACACTGCATTGAGAATTTCTTTGTCATTTTTTCTTCTCAAATAATGAACAATGTCATGTTTTTACTTATTTTTTTTGTTCTGGAAGCATTCTGAATGCAGCCCTAAAATAGACCTCTTTCCCCTGTTTACAGCTTACTCTCTACTCAGGAAGGTTTGAAGAGTTCCAGAGCACACTCACAAAAAGCAATGAGGTGTTTGCCGCTTTCAAACAGGAAATGGATAAAGTAAGTATTGCTGATCCTCCACGAAATATTGACATTTTCTATTTTGACAGGCAGTTCTCCTTTGGTTTTCTATTTCTCTTGCTAAATAAGATATTTCGGCACATTTTATGAAGGAATAAAATGTTATTTTATGTAGGAGTGAGGTTTGGGCTGTATTTTTTATTGATAAGCATCTGGTGAATAAATCTTAGCAAGAGTTCAAAATGCGAGGATACATTTCTACTCTGAGGAAGAATGGTTCTTTTTCTACTTCATGGATAGCTTAAAAAAAAAGACAAGAGATACCAATTACACATTATGGCAGATATAGTAAAGTTAAAAAATAATCTTCTAAAGATTAAAAAAACTTTTATACAAATATGCAAAATAGAATGTTAGAACAGGAAATATCATATGATCCTTCATAGAAGGGAAGATATATAATATGATATAATTGACAGAGCCCTGAATGAGAAGTTGGAAGCTTGAATTCAGATTCTGGTGTGTTCTTACTCATCAAGCAGTGTTGCAAAATTCACTTAACTTCCCTGAATTTAATTTTTCTTGTCTATGGAGATATTACTTCCCCTATCTACCCCACAAGATTGTGGAGTTCAAATAAATTAATGTAGTTTTTTAAAAATTTAAACTTTTTATGAGTCTTTTTTCAAATATAAAGTGCTAATTTGACAATTGAATGTAATGTTTAAATCTTGTTCACGTCAGTGCATTCCCAATACAAAATCAGCATCAGAACTGGTTCTGGACAGGCATTGGCATTAACCATTTTTAAGTGTAGAAAGCATCCTTTAAAATATATTTTTATAAAATAATATGATAAATTTCACAATTAAGTGAGCAAACTTAAAAAGGTCAACACTTGTTAAAAGTTACAGTTCTATTACTCCAGAATGGATCTTTCTATTAAAAAAATTTCTTTTTGAAATTTTAGAGTTTTATGATTAGAATAGAATAGAAAAAAATTTCAAAATTGTATCATTTTTAGATTGGAATAAATATTAAACAGGATTCTTAATCTGGAGTTCACTTATGGACTTTGGTAGCTGGCCTGAAAATTCTCTGGAAATTAGAAAAAACAAAAACAAAAAAACTTTCATGTGCATATTTGCATTTTTCTCAAGTGTGGTTCTAAAGATTTCATCAAATTTTTGACAGGGCTCATGACCTTTAAAAGTTCATAAACTACTAACTTGATTAATGTATGATTAAAATAGAAGTCCTAGCTTCTCTATAGAGCCAGGGGCTAATGATCTGGACCCAGCCTCTGGCCTCCGTGAGCAGTTGGCACCAAGCAGCGAATGCCCAGCTACAACTCATCCAGGAAAACCTCACCTGAATATATGCCATATTCTCTGCTTCATATAAGCAGACAGAAGATTCTACAACCAAGAATGTGAATATTCTCAGGTTTTTTGGCTATATTTTATTTACTTCTTAATCTCCACATCCAGCCCCAGGCCTGGCAACCAGCAAACACTCTGCACACGTTACATTACATGAAATAAAACAACTGCAGTCTCATTCTTCTGTCAACTCATCTGAATATTATTCCACCTACCTGAACCTCAGTTTCCCAATTTATAAAATGGAGGGTGAAATAGAACCCTGCTAGTAGGACTCATTCACGGATGAAATAAAGATGGCATGTAATCACATTTTGTGAACTCTACCTCACTCTACAAATGTAAAGACCAGAAAACAGTTCCTTTTGTGGGGCTTCTCAAATGTGACCAAATATTATCAACATTTTATTTTATTTTATTTTATTTATTTATTTATTTTGAGTTGGAGTCTCACTCTGTTGCCCAGGCTAGAGGGCAGTGACATGCTCCCAGCCACCACAGCCTCAACCTACTGGACTCTGGCGATCCTTCAGCCTCAGCCTTCCAAGTAGCTGGAACTACAGGCGCACACTACCACACCCGGCTAATTTTTTGATTTATT